CGGCCGATTAGGTTTTCTGATTGGCCGATGTGTTGGAAGCGGGACTTTTATTTTGACGGCGCTCCGGACTTTTATTTTGACGGGTGGCGCTGAGAACACCAGTGCCTGAGAGGAGAACGGCAGCGCCTGATCACACAGCGCTCACTCACATTCTCTGTCTTCATTAGTTTATGATCTCTGTCAGTCAGTCATATCTCTAATACTTTGTTAGACAGAACTGGTAAACAAAGAAAGTAAATGGTATGCGAAAAAGTAAAGCGTTTGCTTTTATATTATTTGTAACAGAAAAGGCAAACATTCCGACTAAAATACTTTCTCATTTACCGTCAACATTTAGCAGATGCGCATCTACATCATTTAAACAAATCTCTGAATATCTAATAAACATTTAATTTCAGAAACCTTGCAGATTTAATCGAATCCAGCTGTGATATCTTGTGAAGTGTGCATTTGTAGCCTTAAACGTTTTACTGCGAGTGACGGTCAGTCCGTGTGAAGTGAGTGAATGCGAACAGAAGATCAGCTTCACAGGAAACGCGATCGAAAAATACTTTAAATCCTTAATTTTAAAATTTGCTGTGCTATATCCAGTTGCCCACTGTGTTTATTGGCAACACAGTGCCAATATTGTTATTGGCATATAAATATTCATATTATTAATAATCTTTCAGTGCGCAAAACTATCTTGTTCTGTCGTATCTATCATGTATTGTTGCCCCATTAAAATGCTGTGTAATACATTTAAAATAAACATCTTTTAATTTCATAGTATTTAATTTTTCAACAAATTCTATTTCATGAATGTATTTTATAATACAAATAGAAAATTGTCTTTTTTTTTAATTGACATTTTACCAGATTTTGTCCTAGTAGTCTTCAGTCCTTCAGTCCTAAAAGTTTAAATTTTATAAAATTACTGCACCCAATATTTTTTCAAGAATTACTTTTGCTTCTGAATTATAGATTCACCTAGTTCATGATATATGTTTGTCATAGATTATATATATTTTACATATATACATATTACATATATATTTTTAATAATTTGTTGTTTTCCTCTAATGAAGTAGATTTTTTTTGGGGGGGGGGGGGGGGGGGGGTCAGAATTGGATCAGTTATGAAAAATGGTATTGGTGCATGATGCATCTGCAATTCCAAGTTGTTGTTTTCTTTATTCTTTGAAATTGCTCATTTTGGTTTTCAGTTGTATTGCATAGTTTGTCATTTTTACATTAAACGTGCAAAAGTTGATTAATTTTTTACATCACAAAAATGTTATATTATATTACCCTGATAATTTTATTAGACCAAAAAGGGGGGAAAAATACCAACATGTACCGGTAGTATATAAACATTTTACATTTTCATGTCCGTGTACTGTGCACAATGTTTGTTCTTAAAACCTTAATGAAAATCATACTTTCTACATGTTTATTTATGTATAAGCTTACACTGTAAGTATAAACAAAATTGTTAATTGCATACCTGTGCAATCTCTTTAATCCTGTAGCTAACCTCTTCGCTGAGGGCCAGACAGCTGTCTTCCTGCAGTGAGCCCACACCCACTGACTCCGCCATCGCCTTCATAGATTCAGTAGGGAGGATCACCGAACACAGCTTCTGTCTGCGCTCCTCTGCCATGTCTCACTCTATGGCAGAAAACAAACTACATAAATCAGATATATTCAAATTTCAATGTCATCATCAACAGTAAATAAAGCTCTTTCAATCCATTTCCACTGGCAACAGAATTAGATAACTTTAAGAATGGTCTGCCAAGTCAAGTCACCTTCATTTGTATAGCGCTTTTAACAATACAGATTGTACTGATAATAGGAAATTAAAATAACATAGATTGTTTGGGCTTTACAGTAGCTCTAGAATAAAGTTATTGTCCAGCTAAAGTAAGTTTTTGATTGATTCACTTCCGTTGCAAAGATCATTAGTTATTAACTTAGGGGCCGCTTACACGACAACGTTATAGGCCTAACTGAAAACAGAAAACCCCTAACGCGCTCCAGACGCTCATTTGCAGGACAACGGCATTTGGTGGCTTGAGAACGCAAACTTTGAAATAGGTTCCAAGGTGCAAGTTTTAATTTTTTTTTTTTTTTTGTAAGTTATCTTCTCCATGTAAACTTCAAAAATGTGAATCTGTGAAAACGGTGAGTGCGTGCACATGCATATCATGTGTTCAGTCAATAGGTATGCGTGTTTGAATACGTATGTGTGTCTTTCTTTACAAAGTGACAATGCCAAATTACTTGTCTGGCCAGCATAATACAGAATTTGTTGTCATTTCCGCAGATCCATGCGAACTGGAATCATTTTGATAACGTTTTATTTGTACAGAGGTAAAGGGAAGAGGAGGCGGCATTTTGTTTAATTTTGTCTGCTGAGGTTTTGTTTAAATAAAAAAATAAAAAAAACTTCTAATAGTATTGAAGGCATAAATAAGTTTTTAAAATTTTTTTAATGTTTATAAATTAATGCCATCTTTTACAGCACATTTATGTTAATGAATGTATAGTTGCCATGGAGTTATATAGCTGCATCTTTTATCATCTATTCTATATCTATTATCACAACTTAAAAAAAATAGTCAAAATACTTTTAAATAATATTTAATTAAAAAAAAGTACTTTTCTAAAGAACATATATATATATATATATATATATTCTATTTTCCATTACAATGTGAATTCACATATTGTTGATATATTGATTGCTATAGCCTATGTCATTGTGTATTACTTGGCCACAGGTTTATGGCCAGGTAATACACAATGAAATAGGTTATAGGCTATAAGATGATTTGCACATTTGTTCACAAAGTTCATATATAGAAACTGGAATCAAATTGCTAGCAAGTTATTCCTTAGTTGTAGACTACTGATATGAATCTTTTATGGCTGGTGCCAAAACAGAATTTCACAGTAGAGTGTGACTGGTGGCAGATATGAAGCAAATATATTACAAATAATCAAATGTAATGATTGGGAATGATACATGCATACAAAAAAAAATCAATAACAACTATTTGAAAACATAACAAAAAAGTTTTTAACTAGAATGTTGAGTTTTTCCAGAGCATTGTATCCTATTAAAAATCATAAGAGTCATACTGAGAAGACCTACGGGTCTAATATCTAGTTATCGGTTAGTTTAGTTATTTGTTTTACAGGAATCGAAAACACTTCTTCTCCGTAATGCATCAACACTTCTTCCAATGTTCAACTCTCATAATGGTCTGTCAGATTCCATTGTGCTACAGAAAATATTCCCTGACGATCGGAAAAGTTTATTCATCTGAAACGAGTTAATGAGTTTTCAACCACATTTTTAAGCAAACTTAATGCGGGATTGAGTGCTCAAATATGATATACTACGCTGTCAAAAAGTTGTTTATGCACATATTCAAATGTCTTAAAACTCATTAGGCCCATTATTTATATACAACTGAGGTTAATCATAGTCATTTCCCTGTAATAAAATTGCACAAAAAGCAAAACTGAACTGCATGTCGTTCTTACCTTTAAAAAGATGATGCCGCAATGTTAAAACGATTAAAACAAATTTAAAACAAGCAAATCGGTTATTGATAACTGCTCACTTTGTGTTTGTGCAGCAAATTGTTTATTTTTCCCCTGTATTTATTTTATATTTATACTTGGTATATCCTGTTTAGCTCCGAACCATTTTTCTGAAATTCCGCCATTTTGAATTTGCTGGAAGGTCCTGAGAGTGCGAATGAAGGATCGAAACGTAATCCCATATACACGTATTTACAAAAAAAGCACATTTTAGCATCATGACATTTAATAAACTTCATAAAGAAGCTTACAGACGATTTACTAACAACTATAGATAATAGTTAATGCAACAACAAAAAAACGTATATAGTTATATTTTTATGCATCTTTCATGATATCGATTGGTTCGTTCATCCGCTAGCCAGTCTGTCGAAGATTGCTGCCCTATATATATATATACACCTAGATCCTCACTAGCGGTCGTTTCAATGGGCCACTAATACGTAAGCCGTAGCCATATTGGGGCGGTCCGTGAACATTTGAAGTAACCGCAGTTAGACGCATGTATGGATAGAATATCTATATATGAAATATAATTCAGCAGATGATGTTGCTAAACTAACACAATACAACAAGACAAAGGCGTCAGCTGACATTGCTAAGTTACCATAGGAAAAGTAAAAACATTACAATTACATTAGTAAAAACATGTAATATTGATTTAATACAAATAAAAACACAAATACAACACATTCCCACCTGTGTAAGGTTATCCCATTTCTTCGGGAATTTAAATCTTGGTGGTTTCACAACCAGAAGCTGCACAATGATGTGGGATCATTGATTCTTACTGTGAGTGACGACACGCTGACTGTTGCAAGATGGCAGGCAAACATACCGGTAAGTGTCGGGAGCGGTCATGTATACGTAGAATGAGGTTTCTACGTATACATATCTATGATTAACGTTACCGCAATATCTGCTCATGCCTACAATAATCAACAGCCATTTCCCCCAAGTGTAATAATATTTGATTTTAGATCAATTATTTAAATTAATATTCACTTGTTGAAATATTTGTTCATGCAAAATGAAAGTGAAGTATGTGAAAAGATGTTTCTAAAACAAGATCGTTATAGTAGGCTAGTGTTTCTAAATTATTACTGGTCAAATTCACAAATGTAAACAGAACAACAGAGGTAACAAATCAACAAAAGATACACACCAACTACATAATTTGGGTGGGGGTGGGGGTTAGGGGATAAAAGATGTGAAAAAGGAGGATGTAAATACATAATGAAACGTTATTATTCAGCTCAGCTGACATATTTTTTAAAGTGAATTTTCTCTAGACTTTTTTTGCACAAGTGGGAGGAGTTGTTTTCTCGTCACTTTAATTATTGCCCGACTTTCAGCAGTGCAACGCCTAATTAACCCGTGATTATGGAACTCATACAAAAATGAGTTAATTGTCCATTTAAAGAAGCGGAAGTGGTCCAGATGCTTGCTAGGTGATGCGGGGTTAGCTTGCAGATTTGGCTCTCTAAATTAATTGAGGACGATGACGGAAAGTTTAATCTTGCATCTCTTGATCCTGACTTTGACAGCAGAGTTTAGTGATGTAAGGGCCTCTCAACTGAGCTCTAACCCTCCGATACCCTATACATCCGGTCGGTCGCAAATGAGGGAACCTTTCCCAACCAAGCACCTCTCGAATCAAGCAAAAGATTCGCCCAGCAGACAGATCACACGTGTCAAAACAGTAGCCGTGATTTGCCACGAGAATTACATGGAGATCGCGGTTAAGGTTGACCTCTTTGACGTTGATTTACCTGTGGATGCTTCAGAGCTGCGGCTTGGTGCCGACAGTCAGTTCACTCCTTCGTGTAAAGTGACCGCGTTCTCCAATAACGAGTACATCATAGCAGCTGAGCTCACTGACTGTGGCACTCAACACTGGGTATGAGCAATTCAAGCTTTTTTTTGTAGATATTCATTTTGGGTCAGAATCTGTTAAAGAGCTATTCATCTGGAGGTTATTCCAGAAAGCTAGGTTATGTGAAATACCCGGGTATGTTTAAGGGTAACGTTAGGCCTAGTCCTTGTACACTGAGTCCGAAATTTTCGTATAAAGGCCTTTCGTATAGACGAATCCGGCGAAACTACCGGAAGTAAGCGGGCGCCATAACTGAGCTGTTGCTGGGTAGCGTTGCGCCATTGCCTCCTATTGTTTTATTTGCAACTTGCGTCCACTGGAATAAACAGCCCGCGATTTACGACTGTCACTAACGTTACAACTTTTATAATGTCGAGTGGGAAAACATGTTCCGGTTTAAATTGTTTCAATGGCGGCAGTAAAGGGCGCATTGGGGCAGTAACGTAACATTACTGTTATGTCTGTTGTTAATGTTTGATTTGCTTGACTGTGACAGATTTTTTTTTTAAATAACAAATTAAAATAAATTAAATATAATGCAGTTGTTGTTATAATAACAATTATTTAATGACATAAGTAAAAAAATATAATCCATATGTAATATAGTGCTCAGCAAAATCTCCTCTCTAGCGATTTTTTCTATTCAATTAACATGCTATGGTCATTAAATGGCTTTGCTGAGCTAAATGTAACGTTATGTGACATAATTGTTCTCCTGCTGTTATATTGACCTCTTTCCATGGTTTAAAAACACTAATTGGTCGATATTATGTGTACTTTCTAGCTGTACCTTACCCTTGCCTTTTGCAATGTGAAAATGAGATAAATAATGGACACAAATGAAAAACATGAATTCGTTTATTTGATGTCATTTATTTATGGTTGCCAAATGGACAGATCTTTTTATAGTTTCCTCGTTAGCTAACGTTAGCCTAGCTAGCTTGCCAAGCTATTTTCATAAATAATCTGTAAGATCGTTTGTACCTTCATCTGTGACTGGAGGCCACTGTCTAACATCATCAACCCAACAAGTCATTCTGCCTGGCTGTAGCTGTCATCGAGGGTGCGTTATCACGGAGGTTTGTTTACATACCGGTAATGGCTTCGCCACAAGATGGCAGCCTACACAGAAAGCTCGTCGGATTCGTAAGTTATTTTTTAAAGTGTAAATTGCAGGTAAAAAATTTCACGAAGACAATGCAATGTGCTTACTAAACACAAAGATAAGAACCGCCCACCATTGTTTTTTTATGTTTTTTATACCAAAATGCTGAATATAATATGAAAAGTTGGTGCGTTTTACAGTGGTTTTAAGCACGGCCCCTCCCTTCCACTAGGCTGGGCGTGACGTCATAAAAGGTACTCCAAGCTTTTACTGTCTATGCTCCAGGCCTTGAGTTACGTTATATTGGAGACCTAGCTAGCAAAAATGGTTATCTATTGTGTTTGTGCGGGATGTACGAATACATCAAAAACGGGGGAGAGGCTCCACAAGTTCCCCAAGGACAAATGGCTGATTCGTTCCTGTAAGTGTTAGCATAACTTACCCGAGGTAGAGCTTAGATCGGGCCCAAAAAAATCAAGCAAGACCCTACCCGAGCCCGCTGTGTCCGAGCCCGGTCCGGCCCTGCCCGACACATTAACTGTAATTATGAGCCCGGTTTAAACCCGACTATTTTTTTTATACGTGGGTCGTTATAACTGACGTTCTCAACTACTTTCTATATTACTTTCTCCCGCCCGCAACATTTATGTTTTGTCCCGCTCCCGCCCGCAAAAAGACTTTTTTTCTGTACCTCCAAATACTTTCAAGTTAGCCTACGTGTCGCCACCATACACATCAGCATACATGCTCCTGATCACTGTTATAACATAAAAGCAAGCGGGCTACTGCGTGCATGGTCTGGCATGACTGTGCGCAAAGTGCGCTCCCATAATAATTCCTAAAAAGCTGACATCAGTTCATCGCGATCTCACACATCTCTGTTATTATCAATGAATCTTTCATAATATATTGGCCTACACTATGTTTGTTATAATTAGAGGATTTGCCAGAATTCAGCACTGAACAAAAAGTCCGTTTTGAGCGGTGAGGGGAGTCCATCGTAAATGCTTTTGATTGGCCATTATTGCGTTCAAGAAATCACCACATATGTCTGTGATTGGCTACATCGCTCAACGCTGCAGACATGTTAGAAATAGAAACTCTGCCTGTAAACCGTTTCTATTTTGTTTTAGTTCTTATTGCTTTTCTGCAACAGATGAATAAAAATGTATTCGTTTTTGTTTTATTCATAGATATTTCTAGTTTGCGGGAGTCCCGCGAATCGTTTTATTCTCCCTCACCCGGCACACACAGTGACACAGAGTAAGTGCATTACCGCCCGCGCTCCCTCTTATGACGTCATCACCCAGTTACGGTAAAAAACATGCTACCTTTGAAGAAACCCCAATAAATGTTATTTTAACGCATTTTAAGACAGAAATTTTTACATATATACACATTGAGCACTTTAATTTACACATTAATTGGTTGTGGTGGTTAACCTGCAATTTACACTTTAAAATCGTGTTTAACAACGGAGTTCCTGGTGGATAACTACATTACCCATGATGCTGTACAGAAAATTACACCGATTAGAAAGTCGAAAGAAGATACTGATGTTACTGCCTGTGTCCGAAACCGCTCACTCGCACTCGTATAAAATTAAAATAAAACTACTTTTATCTTACATGTTACTTTATAAAATAACATTAATAACAACAACAATCATAGTGACTTTTTATTTTGTAATTATATATGCCTCCGTGCCAGATTTGTAGTTTCATCGATTGTATTTTTGGTTTATCATGCTTAATGTGTATGGCCCTGTCCCAAATGGCACACTTGCACTTTCGGTCTTGTGGACTTTGGCTGCCGAAAACGCGTTAAAGGTCCCGTTCTTCGCGATTCCATTTTTCAAACTTTAATTAGTGTGTAATGTTGCTGTTAGAGCATAAAAAATACCTGTGAAATTAAATTATAAAGCTCAAAGTTCAATGCCTAGCGAGATATTTTATTCAACAGAAGTCCCCTTTCAAAGCATACAGCGAACGGCCAGTTTGGACTACATCCCTCTACTTCCTTTTTTAATGACATAACTAGAACAGTTTTTTGACTAATCTCCGCCCACAGGAATACACAAAAAAAGGGGGCGTGGTCTTGTTGCGCTCCCACGGAGAAGAAGCACTTCAGCTGCGCATGCATCTCCAATTTATGGTAAGAGGCGTGACCTTTCCGGGCAACGTGTGATAAGCTGCTGTCGAATCACAATACAGGAACCGCTGGCACAATCAGAACTCGTTTCGTATTTCTGAAGGAGGGACTTCATAGAACAAGGAAGTTATCAGGCCGTTTTTTGGACAGTGAAAACAGCAGTATACAGATAAGTAAATTGTGTGAAAAATACTGTGTTTTTTTTTAGACGCGAAACATGAACACATGTTATATTGCACACTGTAAACACAATCAAAGCTTCAAAAAAAACATGAAGAACGGGACCTTTAAAATCATTCATTTTACCATTGTGAATAGCCGAGGGTAACGGTTGCTTCACGGCCAATTTCAAAGTTCCGTGCGACTGACACTAGGGGGCGAAATGCGACAATCGTATGCGAATGTCGTGTGCAGTGGAAAGGCGGCTTGAGGGCGCTCAACGACCACGTCATGAGCGTGAGAGTTTCTAATCTTTTCCTTTTTTTTTTACAGTCTAGGTTTCTAACTGAGAAGACTGTAAAAAATAGGCCCTGTCCCAAAGCTCGCATCAGTGCGGGCTCGGCAAAAGTCCGTATCGAGGGCGCATATCGACCGCAAAGGGGGCGCTCGCGAGCACCCCTTTGAGACCTAAAATGACAAATGGGACACGCTAGGTCTCATGGACTTAAAGGGATACTCCACTTTTTTTGGAAATAGGCTTTTTACAACTCCCCCAGAGTTAAACTGTTGAGTTTTACCGTTTTTGAATCCATTCAGCCGATCTCCGGTTCTGGCGGTACCACTTTTAGCATAGCTTAGCATACATCATTGAAGTGGACAAGACCATTTGCATTTCTAAAAAAAAAATGACCAAAGAGTTTCGATATTTTTCCTATTTAAAACTTGACTCTTCTGTAGTTACATCGTGCACTAAGACCGACGGAAAATGTAAAGTTGCGATTTTCCTGGCTGATATGGCTAGGAACTATACTCTCATTCCTGCGTAATAATCAAGAAACTTTACTGCCGTACCATGAGTGCAGCAGGCGTAATGATATGACGCAGCGCCTGAAAATAGTTCCGTTGTGTTGACGGAACGTGGCCTATTTTCCACTATGCTAAAAGTGGTACCGCCACGCCAGAACCGGAGATCGGCTGAATGGATTCAAAAACGGTAAAACTCAATAGTTTAACTCTGGGGGAGTTGTAAAATGAGCCTATTTCCCAAAAAAGTGGAAAATATGTTCTTCATGTTTTTTTGAAGCTTTGATTGTGTTTACAGTGTGCAATATAACATGTGTTCATGTTTCGCGTGTAAAAAAACACAGTATTTTTCACACAATTTACTTATTTGTATACCGCTGTTTTCACTGTCCAAAAAACGGCCTGATAACTTCCTTGTTCTATGAAGTCCCTCCTTCAGAAATACGAAACGAGTTCTGATTGTGCCAGAGGTTCCTGTGTTGTGATTCGACAGCAGCTTATCACACGTTGCCCGGAAAGGTCACGCCTCTTACCATAAATTGGAGATGCATGCGCAGCTGAAGTGCTTCTTCTCCGTGGGAGCGCAAGAAGACCACGCCCCCTTTTTTTGTGTATTCCTGTGGGCGGAGATTAGTCAAACTGTTCTATTTACGTCATTAAAAAAGGAAGTAGAGGGATGTAGTCCAAACCGGCCGTTCGCTGTATGCTTTGAAAGGGGACTTCTGTTAAATAAAATATCTCGCCAGGCATTGAACTTTGAGCTTTATAATTTTACAGGTATTATTTATGCTCTAACAGCAACATTACACACTAATTAAAGTTTTAAAAATGGAATCGCGAAGAACGGGACCTTTAATGAATGTAATGCATGCATGAATATATCCACACAAAACGAATTACTAAAAATTATCTAAAATAAAAAATAGATTTTATAGAGCTAAGCAATCTAAATATTGATAATTATAAAATATTATTTTCTGCCATAATTATTAATAACCGACATTTTACAGAAATAGCGTTTACAGAATAACATTCAAGAGTTAAAATATTGGTAATTCTTGCTCAGTCCTCTCAGCATTGGATTTTGGGAAATAGTGCTTCAGCAAGTGTACGCTCTAATTCAGAGAGGATTGTGCTCTCAAAATACTTAAATGTTTGTATATGTAGGCTATGGATTTTTGTAATAAACGTAAAATATATTTTTATATATAATCAACGTTTGTAAATGAGTAGTTTGTCTCCATTGTTTTTGATTAGATTACGCTGTTTGAAATTATACATGGGATTGTAGTTCTTTCCAAAGCAAAAAACAAACGTAGTGTCCACACACTGATATGACTGCTCCAGAAAAAGTGTTTATTGCAACGTTTCGACCATCAGGTCTTTCGTCAGGCACAAAATTAGTGAACTAAGGTACAACTTTATAGACAACAGGTGATCACCACCCTCTTGATGGTCTTCGGGGACTTTTTAACCTGCAAATGACTTTTGCTGAATTAAAAAAAAAATCTCTGTCCAAATGGCATGAAACTTTGTACGGCTCTCAACCCCTTTCTAGATCTACAAAAAACAAGGAACTCCCGCACACTATCCGATCCGTACTTGCAAATGAGTATCAATTTTATTAGCAACGTTTCGGTCTCACGACCTTCATCATGCCTGAGGTTGGGGAAAACTTATTGTATTAAACAATGTTCGCATTTTTTCATGCACTTTACGATGCTATCATCAAATTGAAGTAGTTTAAATAAAGGAATATTTCCAGCCCATAGACGATTATCAAAATTAACTGGTTTGATCATCGTAAACTTCTCATCCGTGTTTGAGTGCAGTGATACTGTAGACAATAATAGGTGGTAATATAATGCAAAAATAAACAACATATATATAACATTAAAAATGTAATTAAATCATTCCTCTGGTAAGGTTTTTAATAGAGGAAAACAGAAATAAGTACTGGCTATATAAGGGGATTTTATGGTGCTAAATATATACCTCTAAATTATGAACCATTTTTCAGCTGTAATACCAAGGTGTAACCACTAGATGGATGTATAGCCCTATATATAAATGTATAAACATGGCTGTGTACATTGCTTTCAGACATAATTCATTAATTGCATTAGGTTTTGCATTTGAATATAGGCCTATATTTAGACATTATGAGTGACTACTTTTTTTTTTTTTGTCAAAGTTAAGATTGTTTTTGTTTTTTGCTCATTTAAAGGTTGTATCAGTGATTTCTGGCCCAAAAATAAATGTCTAATCTTTCCTAACGATCCGCTAGCTGCCCGCCCCATAAGCATGCCGTCCAAAAACCGCGTCTCTGTAGGCAGCGTAGGCTCTGAGATCTGCACACAAAAACAAATGGGTAGAACCACCACTCAAAACCAAAATAAACAGTGTTCCAACCAATCACTGACAGGGGCGGGTGTTGCTCCGATTTCGCGTCCAGCCGTGCACGAGCGCAAAACCTCACAACACCCGCCCCTGTCAGTGATTGGTTGGAACACTTTATTTTGGTTTTGAGTGGTGGTTGTACACATTTGTTTTTGTGTGCAGATCTCAGAGCCTAGGCTGCCTACAGAGACGCGGTTTTTGGACGGCATGCTTATGGGGCGGGCAGCTAGCGGATCGTTAGGAAAGATTAGACATTTATTTTTGGGCCTGAAATCACTGATACAACCTTTAAGTTCATTTGAAGTATCAGTTTTTGCATTATTATTACAGTCAAATCTAGACAAAGCATTTTGTTAATCATTCTGATTATTTCCGTGTGACTAATCAAGCTATTAAATGTAGCTAGTATATTGACAAGATCTGGTCTGTGGTGGTCTCTCCTCCTGTTTGAAAAACTCACCAAATCGACAAATTCAGATTCAAGTAGCTTTATTGGCATGGTAAAAAGGCTTTACATTGCCAAAGCATTGACAGTGCTCTGATCCAATTGTGTTGGACATTGTCAAATTTACAGGCAACAATGGGCTAGTTAGGGTTAGAAATAGTACTGTAGAAATACTAAAATATTAGTAAAAACCACTGAAAAGAGAGCAACTTGCTCTGTTTCCCCAAACCGTTTTGTCGTAAATTTGTCGTTCAACCATGTTGGTTTGGTTAATGATGGTGGAGTTAACTTCTTATAATGAATCTGTCTGAGATTGAATTAATGCCAGATTTTTTTTGCTACAAATTACGGACATTGCATCTGAGGACTAATTCTCATTTTATCAGTTATTTGGCTTTTTCTAGATTCAATCATATAGGCTCGTTCTTACGTTCTAGTGCATGTACTAGAACTGCAACTAAAATGTCAACTAAAATAAACTGCAATTTAAATGACTTGACAAAGTAAAACGTAAATTTACGTTTTGTATATTTTCAAAATAAAACATCTAGATTGTACTAAATGTCAGATTGCTTATTTTTCTCAAAATAAGGATTTAAGTTCACATGTCATGCAAACAAGAAACTATGCTTCTAAACACAGGTCGAGAGACGTTGTTCCAACCACACAACTTTGCAAAGCTGTTTGCGAATGTTCGTTGGAACTATGGTTTCGGGAAACACCAACTCGAACTATGCTATGTTGTAGCAGATTTAAAGTCTTTTTGGTTCAGTTCTCAAAGAAAGCTCTCAGTCGAAGTTCCAGGTCTCAGAAGAATTAGCTTTATTGAACAAGCAATAAAGTGAGATGCCAGCTGTTCATCTGATCTTACCATTGCCAGACTTCATGTCTTATACCTTTTTCTTATCGCTAGGTACGATACGTTTTCTTTTAGATAAGTTAAAAGATATAAGATAAAAGTGAAGTTATGTTTTCTTTTCGCCCCTCCTCGTGATAAACGGCATTAAAAACATCTTTCCAGAGGCCTTGTTTGTATTGGTGGAAAGTCTCTGACCATACAAAAAAAATTAAAACATCTTATATAACATGTTTTTCAGTGCCTTCCAGTGTTTTCCACTACCTGCACCCTTCCCATTTGATTAATGTACAGGATTTTGGGTGCTTTTCCATTTTCACATACCCTTTGACCTGTTTTCTGCCTGGTACATCAGCATATAGACATTTTGCATGAGACAAATGAAATTCCCCAATAATAATGACGGAACTTGCAACCAAAGTTAGCTAATGATGCTTTTGGGAAATGCACTCCAGAGCGGTCAGACTGAAACAGATTTCCAGAAATGCGATTTGAATAGGTTTTCAAAACACATGAAAATGTGCAGAAATTGGATTTGGACTGACCGTAGTCTGAATTGGTCTGAACGTAGCGTAAGGATTGTGTATCCGATTGGAATCTGATCTAAAATTATTGATGTCAACATTGTGTATCGAGACTGTTCAGATCGGAATTGTGTGTCCATGCCACTTTCCTTTTCCGGAATATCTGCATTGGTTTGTATGACAATGATGTTAGGTTGGTAGGCATACACCAAAAACAACAACTGAAACACAGAGGGGTTTGCAATACAGATGCTGTCTGATTTACAATATAACAATGTGTAGACGCCATGTTGGACTAGTGCGTCTTCTGAGGCAGCTGCAGAACTGTAGAGCTGGTAAGAGCAGCTTTATTCTGTGCTGTCATCTCTGTCGGTTTAAAATGTCTGTTATATTGTCATTTTTTGCTCGACCAGCACTTTGCAACAACACAACCTTGTTTCTGCAGCGACTTTCTGTATGTTTCTATAACAACGCGAGTCACGCAAAATCCGATCAGAGCAGTCAGACTGAAACGGATTTCCAGAAATGCGGTTTGAATACGATTTCAAACCACAAATGAATGAAGCTCAAATCATTTATAAAAATAGCATTCCATGTGTTTTTGTGTGTGTGTGTGTTTTTACTGTTCACGCTTTCAATTGGATACGCACAAATTTGATTTGGACTGACAGTCTGAACGTAGGCTAAGACAATAGCAAAGCGGCTTGTATGCAGCATTTAATTTCACATCAGACCAAAGCCTAATTAATAAAGTCTAGTTCTTGACAACCACTTAAATGCATGGTTAATCAATTTAATAATTTTAATCAGTTAACCTTTTTTGTTCAGATTACAGATGACTCTCTTATATACACCAACCTCCTTATCTTCACTCCGCAACCCTCTCCAGATGGAGTGGTTCGCCTTGAGCAGGCAGTAGTTCCTATTGAATGTTATTACAGCAGGTAAGTGGACTGTGTATATAACTAACCATGTTACCCCACTTTACTATTTCAGCATGGGTATAAAGATGGGGTATTTATTTTGTATCCTCTGTCTCTCAGGCGATTTGACATTACCAGTAACCCCATCAAACCAACATGGGTTCCTTACGTTTCAACGCAATCTGCACTGGAGGACTTGCAGTTTTCACTAAAGCTAATGACAAGTATGTGCAGGGGTATTTGTAATTTGTAATTTCAGGACTCTTTATTTTGACACTTTACCTGAATGTCTGAAGTAGACAGTTGTAGAATGGTCATACTTGGTTTGCATTATTTCTGGTGCAGGTGATTGGCGCTCTGAACGGGCCTCTGCTGTGTACTTCTTGGGTGACATCATAAACATGGAAGCCTCAGTTCGTCTGGGTCATCACATTAACCTCCGCATATATTTTGAGAGCTGTGTTGCCACAGTGACTCCAGATATCAACTCTGTCCCCAGATACACGTTTATTGAAAATCATGGGTGGGTACATTCATTTTGTTTTTTTTGTCTTAAATTTTTCACTCAGAACATCTTCGCAACTGCATAGAAATGCCCTGGCAACCACTGTAGCATCAGAATTTTGTGAAGGCAAGCACTACTCACTCTAATGTAATCTAGTTGGTGTTTCTTCTACCGATAAATGGCCATCTTGTGGGTGTTTTGAGAATTGCGTGCAAGGCCGCCATTAAAGCACTGCGTCTGAGAGGAGATGAGGCAACAACGGTGTTTAAAGGTAAAATAATTGGTTTCCCTTAATTAAACTTTATTTAACATAACAGCCATTTATGAAAAAATAGATGTTACATGCTTGATATGTAGTTTAAACTATAAATCGAGACGGACTCAAGTCACGTAATCCGGCATGATAATAAAGACATAATTTTACATGAATGAAAAAAAAAACCCAGCCATGAATGAATGCATGTTGAAAATAAAACCTCTAAATTTAATTCTCTCTCTCCGTTGTCTGTGCTCATTAGGCTACGCTGCCTTCACATGCTATCGGAATTATCGTAAATCCTAGTTTCCTAGTTTAAAAAATTGGACATTAATGCCCTCTCAATTCATATTTACCACTGGGAAGCTCGGGGATAATTTTGATACCTAAATTCCCGCGATAGACGGGTTGGACAGTTCCGAAACTTTTGGAATAATTACGATTCCTAGTTCTGGAATCAACTCCATTGAGTCCAGAACTAGGAATTGGAATGATTCCTTGTTTAATCTTTTTCTAATCTTGTGTGTGTATATATATATAAAACGCAAGATTAAAGGAACCTAGTCCCGGAGTGACCTCAGGATGTAGAAAGTATTCTTCTCTGAAGCTTTGTTTGTAAAATGAAGATACATTTCAATAACTCTTGATTTTAAATTGTAATTAAGGATGCTCCTGAAATGGCCCATAGCCCAGCAGTAAATGCGCAATATAAATAAATAAAAGCACCTCATTTAAGGATGTGCATTTATTGCATGGAAAGAACGACATAACATATCTAAAATGCGTGTGCACAGTTCAGTTAAATGACGAAGTTTACTGTTAACTGTGTGCTATTGCACAGAATATACGAGGCGATCTCATCACTGAAATAACCACAATATTTACTACACTGAAATAAGAGTGTGTGGCTTATTTGGCAATCAAATGCGCGAGGGTGTTGCGTTCGTTACTATAGAAACAGTAGGCAAAATCTCAGCAAACAAACACCATTAACTTAAGTGAATAAAAAAGGTAGTAATCAGCAATATGCGTTCACATGGCTTTATTTGAATGTTTTAGCGTGGCCTATCATAAAACTAAGTTGTTAGAAATAAGTTCCAGTGAATAGATTACGCGATGACGCAAAAGAATGAGTTGCGTATGTAACTACGGTTCTATGAGTTCAAGATGACAGCCAGAGGCAGTGATTCCCTCTGAATATTATCTCTCGTGCACAGGTTGAGTTTAGTAACAACAAAGTCATCACATGACCAGGAATGTCATGGGGATCCCCTCTATTTAACCCCGTTACAACTCTACAGAATCTTCTCGTGAGACTCTGACGCATAACTCTCGTTCTATTTCATTCTTACTGACCGCCAGAGGCAGTGCTTCCCTCTGGATGGCTCATAACAACAAGGTCATGAGGAGGCTACTCCTAACCTTAAGCTGAAGTTGAGGGACCCAACAGGACTGCGCTTCCATAGCACCAGCGACTGCCACATTAAAGGGATAGTTCACTTTTAAATTAATTTTTGGTATGTTTTAGCTTACCTCAAGGGCATCCATGATGTAGGTGTCTTTGTTTCCGCAGTAGTTTCAACTTTGATATTTTTAGGTCAAACCATTCTTGTCTGTCAGTCATATAATGCAGGTCTATGGTCACCACCTCAAAGAGCATGCACAGAGAAGTCCAAATTAAACATGATTTAATTACTCGTAAATGTAAGTACACATTGATGGCCTAATGGTGCGTTCACGTGCTATGGTAATTATGGTAAATACCAAAAGCCGACATGGAAAATGCACATGAACACCCCCTCATGTGGTATTTTCCACTGGGCAACTCGTAGAATATTTTGATGCACGAGTTGCCGAGATGAGATTACCTTTGACCTTTTCAAAATGGCGGAGAGCAACGCAAGAGTTGTGAATGGTAAAAATATGTACTATTCATGATCTAGAAAATATACAGCATATATTATTTACCTTTGAGTTTTGATAAATCATTTTCTTGCTGTAGCAGATGACTTAAGCAATCTAAAATAGTTTTAACTAAATAACAGGTCTGGATCTCCATCTTTTTACCACATTACGACAACAAAAGCACTTGAACGCAACACACTGGTAAATACCAGTTCACAAGTGGAAAATATCATATTTTCCATAGCACGTGAACGCACCACTAGACACGAAACGAGCGGTTTGTGTGAGAAAACGAACTATTTATATCATTTTTACCTCTTGTAACCACAGCCACGTCCAAGTGATCTGAGGGCGCAGGCACTTCGGTCTGCGCAAGTGCCGGAAAGCGCCACTTCAAGTTGAACACACCTATTATCAACACCTAAATTAATCTGAAGCGGTCAGGTGGTACAGTAGTCACATGGTACAAGTAGGTCTCTGAAAATTCTCATCTTACGAGCTGTAATTATGAGCTCTACAACCACGTGAATGCAGTTGATGTCATACACCAATGGCCGCTCCATTAATAAGATGGAAAGATTTATCTTGAACTATCATGAAAACTATGTATAAAAGTTAAACAATTTATTAATAAATTAAAAAGGAATTTATACCTGAATGATATAACGCTGTAGCCACATTGGACCAGCGGATTGGAAAATGGATGGATGCTTAAATCAGCTGTGGGCGCCATCTTCTTGTCAGACGCGGGAATTGTGTGCGACTCGCACTGTGCGACTTGCAGTGCATGACTTACAGTGAATAATGGGTATTCTCTAGCCGTTGAGCGTTCATCGGTTGTACACGTTATTGTGGAATTGAATGAGTGCACTATCATCCACTATGGTTTTGGACACCACTACAAATAGCTGTCCCTTCAAGTAGTGCCCTAAGGGTATAGGGGGCGATTTCAGACACAGCTCTAGTGGTGCCATAGAGACATCACGTCTTGTCATTTCGAGACTACAGTAATTACGACGTGGCGTAAAATGCAGCATTGATCTAGACGGACAAAAACATTAATTCTGATAGCGTGCCAGGTGAGTACATCAAATCGCAATTACAACGTAAGCATATTCCAACAAATGTACGTGTACTAATATTCCTTTCTTTTCACTCTTTATTCTACTAAAAACAAACCTTTTAAAACTAGTTGATAGACTCGCCTGTCATTTGTTCTCCATTTGAAAACATTAAACTTAGTAATTTATTTTGCCTGTTAATATTACTGCCATTTATAATTTATGCTTTTTTTATTTTTTTTATTGTAAATCCGTTTATCCGTTTGTTTACCTGACCAAAGTTTTGTTTTGGTTTTTTTTTTTAGACATTTTAGTGATGGTGCACTTTTTTTGCACCCTTTCGGACCCCTTCATTTATTGATGTAGAGTTAAATTACAGAATTTACAGTATAGAAAAGTGTTAAAACAGTTTTGTTCTGTTCAGTGCTGTTATAACTGTAGAAAACAAATAATATATATCAGTTCTGTTTATCGGTTATCGGGCACATAAACATGCAAATAATCGGTATCGGTCATAAAAAGTCATTATCAGTCTATCTCTAATGTCTTGTAGTGCAAATGTAAGGAAATGTTTTGGAAATATTATTTGGCTAATCACCGATAAGTACACTTTAATTTCCCCCTCCCCAATTAGTTGTCTGATGGATGGACCGATAACCAGCTCAAAGTCTCGTTTCCTGCCCAGAATCCAAAATGACAAACTTCAACTCCAGCTGGATGCCTTCAAGTTCCACCAAGAGACGAGGCCAGAGGTGTATATAGTGTATTCCCATGAAAACATGTTCTCAGGCCCAAAACATTATAAAATGGTGATGGAGGGTTTGTTATTTTTGCTTAGGTTAATAATATTGGATGGAAAAACAAAAAGTGGGGTTGTTGTACACATTGAATTCTGATGTCAGTAGTTCCATTTGAGTTCAAATTAACATACTTCTCATTTTGTCGTGCAGATGTACATCACCTGTAATCTTCAAGCTTACCCTGTAATGGATGCAGTTAACCCCTTTCATAAAGCATGCTCCTTTATCGATGGAAGGTGTGAAGCTTTGCTTTTTCTCTTTACCCCCCCCCCCCTTTTTTTTCTATTGTCTAGTAAAGTTTTACATCTCGCCATGCAAACTGTATTTTCTTCCATATTGTTTCTTTGGGGAACCAACCTTAAGTTTCTCTCACTCTCCGCTTTAATCTACAAGCTGGAAGGCTGCAGATGGAGATGACTGGGCTTGTTATAGCTGCCAAGGAACAAAAGAGTATGCTCCATCCTTCCAATCCACACTGCAACAATCTGGGCCACCTCCTGCTCCCAGACCAGACCAGAACTCATCTTCCCCAAAGCCCAACAAATTCCAGCCCAGAATTCAAGAGGGTTCTGGAAGTTATTTCAGTTCCTTGCTAACAGATAGTGAGCCTATTCCCTCTTGGAGGAACTTAATTCTCCCACAGGAGGAGGATGAGGGAATTGGTTCAGTGGGTAAGCACTCCCAGGTCTGGTGATGACTGTGTCTTAGATTGTGTAATTTATCTTAAAGAGCAAGTCATTTAAACTGTGTATTTTAAAGCTGATATTTTGACATTAAAACTGCAGATAAGCATATTTGCACTAACCATTTTGAAAAATGTGGCTCTGTGTCAATAGGGTGGGAACTAGAGAAAACAGTGGGTCCATTGGCCATCTTTCCAAAGAAAAGCAAAATGGGATTTCTGGCTCCTCCTAGAGTGAAGGAGGGTGTTCCTCCTCTCCCTTCTCTCATTAAAGATAAGAAACCGATGCCTCATAGTAGCCTATGGAAGAATGGTGTCATTGCTGAGATGGGTTTGTATTCAACACGTTACAATCTCTCTTTAATTGGGTCAAACACTAGGAATAACTAGGACACACAGTAGGTCTTTTTCGTTTTTTCTCCCTAAACAGAAGTCAAAATTTAAACTAGTATATTTGAAGTTGGATTTCCCTTTTTTTTTTTTTTTTTTTTTTTTTTTGGCACTGCCTTTGAAATTACCTATGCCTACAATTGGAAAATGTGAACTGATTGCAAACTGCTATTTAGGCATTGGGCCTCATTCATTAAACAAGAGCAGAATAAATTTGTATAAATTGTTCGTAAGGCCATTCTAATGTACATTTTTGGGTTCATTCATCTTTATTTTAAAAGCGTTAGTTTGTACCACAATATTTACACCTGCTCCCATTTACCTGTAAATGGTACATAAAATATCAATGTTTTGTTCTTTAGGCAAACTGATGACATAACATTACCGTAAAATATAACAAAATTACTTAACCCAATAGTTAAATGGAGTCTTTCAATGGAGTCTTTCAATCATAACTGAAATTCTTCAAGTAGTTTTCACCTATTATTATAGATTTCTATTATTCTAAGCAAGTGAGGGTAGGAGCAGGCTTCACTCAATGTATACACTAATAAACTTTAAGAGTGCTGGCCTGGATGATTAGAATACGAAAATGAGGAGAAAGGCCGCACTATGCATATGTTATTTTTATTTTTATTTGCACAGACGCGTTTTGGCTCGTGCCTTCCGAAGGCGGCACGCGCCAAAGCGCGTCTGTGCAAATTAAAATTAAAATAAAAAGAACATATGCATAGTGCGGCCTTTCTCCTCATTTTCGTATTCTCAGCCAAACCTGAGAGATCCCAGTAGATCCCACAGCATTCCTGTACATATGATTCGCATAATTGTTTCATGGGTTAGGATAATTTTTGGAAGTATGCATGCCCTTTTTAAAAATGATTCGAATTCATTAACATAAACACAGTAATCTAAAGTTTACGAAACCTTTGTAAATCCAGAGGACAGTTTTTGGTCCATTTTATGCACAAATTACTACAAAGTTTCATAAATGAGGCCTTTTTTAGTTTTTATATAATATATATTTTTTTGTAACCTCTTCAGTATTAACATGGTAATTTAGTTAAAGGTTATGACAGTTAAAATGCTTATAACTGCTGAAAACTGCAGCCTAAAAACGCGCATACCTATAGAAGGAACTCTTAATGCGCATGTGCACGCCTTCAGCGTTCTCACAGGTTCGCGTTTTTAAAGTTTGCGTAGAGAGAATTTAAGAGTTTTCTGTTAAAACGGTGTCGTGTTAGCGGCCCTTAAGTTAATAACTAATGATCGTTGCGACGGAAGTGAATCAATCAAAACTAACTTTAGCTGGGAAATAACTTTATTCTAGAGCTGCCATAAAGTCAAAACAATCTCTGTTACTTTAATTTCCTATTATCACTGTAAAACCGCTTTGGAACAATCTACATGGTTAAAAGCGCTATATAAATGAAGATGACTTGACTTGACTAAAATAAAGTCTCCAACAGACCAAGTGGGTGGTGTAACTCCTTCACTTTCATGGGAACCCACTGAACAACCCAATATCACGGAAAGTGAACCAGAATCCGAGAAGCTGGAAGAGGAAGAGGAAGAGGATGATGAATATGACAGTGAAGATTATGACGGTGAAGATGAAGACCATGACTATGAAGAGAGAAAAGGAGAGACAAAAGAGTCTGATCAAGGCATGTGGAAGACTAGAGTCTTGCCAGAAGAAGGTATAAAAAGGGCATAGTATTTCTGTTTATTGAAGCATTGTTTGATGGGGTATTTGTTTCCTCATGGAATAGTTGATTTTATCTTATAGATTTTAAGGAACTCTTCACAACCCAATCCTCTAAGAATGAGGAAGACTCTGGACTGCATACATTGGGTATAAGCCCTTCCCCACCAGAAGAGGAGCCAGCTGACATATCACCCTCCTAAGGACTCCTGAACTTCTAAACTGAAGGATATGAATGCTGACAAAGATGAAACGATCTCATTGAGGTGGAGGAAAATCTAGTTCATAAAGCACACAAGCAGGAAACAAGACATGAGCGGTTTCACCCTTTGCGCCGATTTAGTTTCATAAATAAAAATATTTTTCTGTCTTCAATCATTGGTCTGCATTTTTTTGTTTATGGAAAAGAAAAGCCTGCATTAATGCACGGGCTTACTGGGGCTGAAGCCCCAGGGCCTATGAAGACAAGGGGCCTATCATAAGCCAGAAAATCACATGGTTGTCGTTATTTCAATATAATATCTCGTTATTTCGACATAATAACGGGTTTTCCAACAATTAAATTTTTTTTTGGCGGTCGCCAAAGCAACTTTTTGTCCCGCCAAAGTCTTTTTTTGATCGGTGAGTGATGTAGAATAGAATGACTGCTGCGCTTGACTGGGCGCGTAACGAGCAGAGAGAGCACCCCGGCAGCGCGCGCACTCTCACGTCTTCAAACAACACGAGCGCTGTTTTGCTCTCTCTCTCGCGCGCGCGCATATTAATCAAAATTGACACGATAGTAAAAGATCGGAAGACCGCAGTTTCACGTGGAGCATTTGGAGATGTTTTCTCCTGAATTACCGCGGTGTGTGAATTGTGCTTAAAAAAAACACGTTGCCTTATCTTCTCTAAAAAGCGTTCCGCCCATTCAGCTGACATAAACCACATATTTCAATAATCGAAAAAACCTATCCAGTGATTAAATGTTTTCTGTATTAACGCAAATCTTGTGCGATGTCCTAAACTGTCGAGATAATCACACAAGCGTGCCGAGGCTAGACGTCCACTAATGACGTCCGATACGCAAACGAATGACTCATTTTAAGTATTCATTTTATTAATAGTTAAAACAACTGACCTGTCCAACACTGAACTCACGAGACTTCTGAATCGGTGTATAAAAAATCGGTAACACTTAATTAGATTTGTTAACATAACAAACTGCACTTCTACAGCATTGTTAATGTCAATATTTAGAAAGTCTGTATAGGCCCACTATATGTGTTGTAGTCATTAAATAAGCGCATTTAGTTTCATTTTTGTTAAAATATAATGGGGTTTTTTGTTTTTATTTTTTACATCTATGAAAATTGAACAGCATGAGTAAGATGCGCAATATATCGGAAGATATGATGGGTTAGACATGATTTTGACCACTAAATTAAGTTTTGTTTTGTAGAAAGCCTTTCTTTAAAGTGAATTTCGTTTTGTATAAATTGGATCTTAATTTTAATAAATTTTTCATCAACCAATTGCCTGGATATAATAAGAAGCAAATATAGCAGACAATATGATCATGGAGGCGCGATTGCATTGCACGTGAACTGGAGCACATATCATAAATTTTGCTCATTTAAATAATAGTGTGTGTGTGTGTGTGTATGTATGTATGTATATATATATATATATATTATATTATATATATATTGCGCAGCTCCCCCTGTCAATGATCTAGCACCCCTCAGCACCTGCGTTAAAAAATTTAAATTATCTGGTGCCGCCCCTGCAAGAACGACGTAGCGTTAAGAAGGTTTCGGAAAACCCAGCCCTTGATTCGGGACAACTGCTTTGATTTCGGGACACCCATAGATTCAGGCCCACCTCGACTTAATCCAGGCCCACCCATCTGTCACGTTCTGCATCCGCCACTGGAGACAAGGCTTTAAGAGCTAATCAAAGCTAATGATTGTGTTTACATCTTCCTAAACTCTATTTTAAAGGTTTAAAAGCTATAAGTGATGCAATACAAAAAAAACGAGCTGACTAGGCTGTCTATAGGCGGAAATTAGCCTAATCTGCACGCAAATTTACCTTTGTGCCCACAGGCTTCCTTCTGCACCCAAGCATTACAGCTATCGATTTTTAACAAAACAGGCCTACTCAAATGTATCTAACCTAACTATTTCACTCGTTATTGCTTAAAAAACAGACAGTTATCCAAAGTTAGGCTTACTTGGCGCCAGTAGACAGCCCTTTTTTCTCCCATAAAAACCTTGCTACTTAGGGTATTTATTTACATGCACAGTGCCAAGAGAGGGAACTTCGAGTCAGTAAAATAATAATAAAAACAATAATTTAATGGTGGTATCCAAAACATTCAATTCAAGTATTATATTAGATATACATTTTAAAACTTCAATGCATGTATATTAAGCCTAGTAATAAGTAGACATTTAAAATACATCAATAACTGATATCATAGTTTAACAATAAAATAGAATATATAATATTAATATAAAATAATATTTATAATATAATAAAATCATAGTTAAGGCTTGCTTTACTGAGTGTATTTGTGTTTGTGGGTGAGCCCTTGTCTGTGTGCATGTATCTGTGAGGGTCTGTGTGTATTGTTACATTGCCAAGTAGGCCTAAATAGTGATTTTTTTTTATTGTGGGCCTACAAAACCTCTCAGCCCCAGGGGTCCGTGTATCTTTTGGTCATTTGATTTCCTGTCTGGAATGGAATAACGAGAAATGAAATCCAGCTCGTTTATTCGTTTTTTTGTTTAGTTTAAAAAACAAAAAATTAGATTTTGGCTCGATTTTTCGTTTGTGGTTTACAAATCGGTTTATTGGTTCGATATTTCATTTGCACACGTGGGCGGCGCTGAAACGCCCCTTTCATCTGATTGGTCAAACCGCTCCGCCTTCAGTACAAGCTTTTCTTTCTGTCGGGCAGAATAAGAGTATTAATAAATGCACTTTAATAAAACAATGTCTGAAACCACCACTCACTGTTAACTACGCACAATATTTGAAGCAGAAATGTTGCTGGTAATGGGGGCTCTGCGACCCCAGTAATGTGAGCCACAGTAGACCTATGACAGATTATTTTAGCATTTCCCATTGATAAATACAGTGCAAATAGTTCCGTCTCTTTGGGTAAAAGGGAAGTGGAAATAAAAATCAATAATAGGCTGAACTATAACATGATAATATGTTCATAACATTTACCACTCTCGTCTTTTATTTACATCAAAAAGTGTTTGTGTGTGACATGCACAGTATATGCCTAAATAATTTTGAAAATTGAATAGAAATAAAGTTTATATTTATAAATGTAAGCATAGGCTATAGCAGGGATAGTCAACTCCGGTCCTGGAGGGCCGGTGTCCTGCAGAGTTTAGCTCCAACCAGGTCCAAAACACCTGCCTGAAAGTTTCTATTATGCCTAGTGAGACCTTGATTAGCTGGTTCAGGTGTGTTTAATTGGGGTTGGAGCTAAACTCTGCAGGACACCGGCCCTCCAGGACCGGAGTTGACTATCCCTGGGCTATAGCCTACTCGGTTCACATGAAAAGAAAGAGACAGAAAAGAGAGAAGCTAGAATCAGTGAACGTACAGAACGTAGGCTAGGCTACTTTCAAAATTAGCAGGGTTTGGGATTAATTAAAATCATGACAGTTGAAGAGCACGGCATACCTTTAAAATGTTATTAGTTTTATTATAAAACTAATACAATTTTATTACATACTGAATTGGTCGATGTTTCTCTGAGTTCTGTTTATTATGTTGGCTTGAGAAAGCATACGTTATTATTATTATTATGAGAAATTGACTCCGCCTAGAACTTTAATGCTTCACCAAACTCAGCTCAGACCTTCAGACTGGTCTGACTCGCTTATATCTTTTTCTAACTGGTCAGACTTACTTTCCCAAAAAAATCCATTGACTTGCGTTATCTGAGCAATGGGCGTAATACTTAATGCTGTCCACTAGAGGGGGCGACAGGATAATACGTCTTTCTACTCTTTTCCTGTTTGCATCAGTTTAAATGACAAATAAAAGCATGAATTTCATTCATAAATAGGCCATATCTGTGTATGAGAACAAGCTTTACATTTCAAGCTGTAAAACTAATTAAAACTTGAACCCTACTTCAAAGTTTGCCACTCTATAGTTTCTTTTAAGATATTGTTAGTTTTTGCATTTAATATTAGTCCATCTGGAACTTTTATTTGTCATGAGCTCTATATTTTAAGATGTACTAGAAAAAATATGATTCAACAACAAAAACTCTGTTTTAACTCGGCAAATGTGTTTTCCTTTCAAGGCTATAGCCTACAAATTAGCCTGCTTTTTGCCATGGCTTGCCATACTGCCCAGAATAAACTATATTTTCTCCACACGAGATGTTTAAAAACCCTGCATGTAGTTTTTGTGAAGACGAGCGCATATCTTACAATATCTTACAAAGGTTCTATCTATCTATCTATCTATCTATCTATCTATCTATCTATCTATCTATCTATCTATCTATCTATCTATCTATCTATCTATCTATCTATCTATCTATCTATCTATCTATCTGTCGGACTGACTAGCTATATGAAAAACTTGAATGCAAACATTTATGCACAAATATATCTTAAATAACAGTTTAAAAAAAGGTGGTCTGCTATATTTCACAAAGGAAGCCCATTTGTGTGTTATACGAGAAGGACATAGCCTACTGTAAAATTAGCTGGTTTACGTAAAAATGCGGATTGATCATTGCACAGTTATTCCAGACGCCTCCCGGTGCTATTCGTATTGGAATTGTGTAATCACAGATTATGAACGGATGTTTTACACAACAACAAGGATATATTCCCATTTCATGTTTTATGGGAACTTTAGACATCATGATTTTTATACTGTACAAACTGTGTTATCCCCTAACTCTAATGTAACCGTTATGGGTAGGTCATCTACGGACATCTAATGTTACGGACATATTTTATCATGGTACAGTTCAGTTATTGATTATTTTTTTTCCACTTCCCTTTTATCCAAAGAGACGGAACTATTTGCACTGTATTCAGGGGCGTAATTTATGGGGGGGTTGGGGGGGGGGGAGATAACCCCCCCAATATTTATACCATGATCACATGAAAAATATGCAGAACAAATTTTTTTAACTATATTAAACATTACAACCCCCCCAATGTTCAAACCAAATCTACGCCCTTGACTGTATTTATCAATGGGAAATACATCATGCTAAAGTAATCTGTCATATAGGTCTACTGTGGCTCACATTACTGGGGTCGCTTGCAAGTCGCAGCAGCACGAGTTACGTGACCAGCAACATTTCTGCTTCAAATATTGTGCGTAGTTAACAGTGAGTGGCGGTTTCAGACATTGTTTTATTAAAGTGCATTTATTAATACTCTTATTCTGCCCGACAGAAAGAAAAGCTTGTACTGAAGGCGGAGCGGTTTGACCAATCAGATGAAAGGGGCGTTTCAGCGCCGCCCACGTGTGCAAATGAAATATCGAACCCATAAACCGATTTGTAAACCACAAACGAAAAATGAAAAATCGAGCCAAAATCTAATTTTTCGTTTTTTAAACTAAACAAAAAAACGAATAAACGAGCTGGATTTCATTTCTCGTTATTCTATTACAAACAGGAAATCAAATGACCAAAAGATACACGGACCGACCCCCAGGGCCTAACGGCAGGTTAATGCGGGCCTGGCCCTGGAAATGGAAACACTCATGATTTCATTTGATTTGTGATTCTATTTTAAAAAATACCTTTTATTAAAATTAAAGCTACGAAGACCTTGTTTTAAATCCTGATACACCACAACGGTTGGTGCAGCACACTAGATACATTTGGTGTGTTTAAATTAGGTTCTGAAAATGCCTGTTAATTGCAAATATTGTTCAGGCTATTCCATTCAAAGGGAGTTGTTTTGGGGAAGAATGCCTGTGGTAGATATTATTCCATGGGTTATAGTAAAGACTGTCAAAGTCATTATTTAAAAAATGATTTAAATGGTTCAGCAATGCATATATATCATATTGGCTGAGTTTGGCAACATAAGTCATCAAAAGCATCTGCTTGCCTAAGGTGGCAGCATGATTTACTTAAAATAAAATAATTTGAGACCACAAACTAACATACTGACGTGTTAGTTTGTGGTCTCAGTTTGTGTGGGGGGTGGGGTGGATTGAACAATGGATTTAACATAGAACAAAATGTATAGCAATTGTATTGCTTTAGCTCTTTTTAATTAATTTGAACAAGCAGCAAAAAAAATGATCTCTCTTTTTTTCAGTGCACTTGTTTCGGCCAGTGATTCATTTATTAGCCTTACTTGCATATAAAAACAGTAGCCTAACATGTTGCCGACGTAGGGCCTAAACCTGCAGAAAGAGTCACTAAATTGTTTTATTTCATTTAAAAAAAAAAATTTTAGTGAATGAATTCAACAGATCAAAATTAATTATCAATTAAGAACAACTGCGTAATTGAAGATAGGCTCCCTTAAAATACACCTAAATGAGAATTCCGACTTCCTGCTTCGTTTGTATGCAGGTTCTTCCGGCCACGACGATGCCATATGGTAAACTTATAGGGACAATTGTTATATTAAGTATATGCGTTGCAGGCGCCATTCGTAATTTAAAGGAAGGCCCGATGATAGGGACAGATTCTAGACAGTACAAAGTCGCATCTTTACCGATTGAGGATCCTACAGGTGATAGTACAGACATGCCTTCGGGCAGAGTTGCACCTGTGCAGGTGCTTTGCACTGAGCGAAGCATGATTGTGCTCATCAGAGCGGACCTTCACTCCAACGGCCGTCATGTCACTGCTGAAGAGTTTAGCCTCGGTCAACCGTGCTCAACCGAGAGCTGCAAAGCCTCTCAGTACAGTGATACTGAATATGTGATTAAAGCAGATTTGCACCAGTGTGGCTTTGAATTATCGGTATGTAAGAGTTATTTTGTTTTGTTGTGTTCTGTTCTTTTTTGAGGGGAATTAAGTTAATAATAAAAATAATAATACATTTTATTTATAATGCGCTTTTCTATCATTTGACAAGTCGTCACCTTTATTTATGTAGCGCTTTTTACAATACAGATTGTTTCAAAGCAGCTTTACAATGATAACAGGAAAATAATGCAACACCGTTAGTTTTGGCTGTACTGCAGATCTAGAAGAAAATAGTGTCAGTCCTGCTTAAGTTCAGTGAAAATTATTTTGTTGTAAAAAGTTAGTTCATTAATTAAGTTAATTTATCTATACTGCCACTCTGGGTAAAATAGATGCCATCTCATATAATGAGTTATTATATTCAGTTCTCATATAATGGTGTCAATGCAGGCAGATCAATAATATTGTTGAACATTAAGTCAGCTTGTCAGTGTATGTCAAGAAAAGGACTGTATATTCATATTTTAATATAATTTAATTTTTAGATTGATGGAGATCATTTGGTTTATTCAAACCAATTGATCTACACCCCTATGCAGAACAGCTTGGGTATTGTAAGGACAAGCACCGCTTCTATTCCTATTGAATGTCGCTACAAAAGGTATGGACTTCATCTGTATGGTTATAATCATTTATACCTCTTCATTTCTGCTGGCTTGCTGCCTTCCTACTGTATATTTGCCACGATGTATATCTCAGGACCCACTTTGTAAGCAGTATTGATGTGAAGTCTTCCTGGCCTACCACATCATCTCTGGAATTGATTGGTTTTTCCTTTCATCTTATGAATGGTATGTTTAGGATTAAATGAAATTTAAAAAGTGGGTTTTTCCTGTTTATTTATTTCCCCCTTTCTTCTTAGATGATTGGAGGACTAAAAGGTCATCCTATGTGTACCACCTTGGGGAAGTGATGAATATCCAGGCTTCTTTCTTGATGGCTGAGCATGCTCCCATCAGATTAGTAATGGACAGTTGCGTGGTCAATCTGGAACCTAATGCCGCATCAGTGCCACGCTACGTGTTCGTTCAGAACCATGGGTCAGTTGGGATTCCAGTGCAATGAAAACAAGATAATGATATCATAAGCAAATTTACACATATCTTTGGCCAATAAAACATTCTTTTCAATTGTTGAATGAATAGTTCATTCATTATTATATGTTTGGAATGGTTGTATCTGTTTGAATTTAACTGAATTGTACATGTACTTTGCAATATTACCACTCATGAGGTGCTGTAAAACTTTAAAACATCATGGCACCCTGATGATTTTTCTTATGACATGATTAACTAGTATTTGTATTTAAATGTTAACAAATGGAATTTCTATCCCTTATGTGGTAGATGTCTTGTCGACTCTAAAGTGCCAGACTCTAGTGCCCGTTTCATGCCCAGAAAACTAAATCATGTGCTTCAGATGCAGATGGATGCTTTCCGTTTCCATGAAGACCACCGTAATGCTGTGAGTCCTATATAAACTGAAACATTTCACTCTTCAGTGTTATAGAACAGTGTTTTGAGAGAAGTACGACCTATTTTTCCTGTTACTTTAGTTAGGACCTGTCCCTATCTTTACTCTATAGATCTATATTACATGCCAGCTGAAGATTGTTGAAATGGAGTTGAATATCATGAACAAGGCCTGTACCTATTCTGGAAACGGGTATGAGTGATTTTTATATGTTAACCTAAGGGTATAAGAGAAATAAAATTCCAAATATAATTGTTTGAAATACAGTATTTGGATTAGACAACATCTCTGATATTTGTCAAGTTGACTTGTTGCTTTCTGAAGGTGGCTCAGTGTGGATGGTAAGGATGAGGTTTGTGAATGCTGTGAGAATACTTGTGATGTCATCAACCAGAAACATATTGGCAAATGGAGTAGACTACCAAAAAGGTCAGTCAGTAGAGGTAAGCTTTAACCTAGGCCACATCATGCCAACAAATGGCAGTACCATGTGTTGCATACAATTTCTTCAGTTTTCTGTTGAGACCATCATAACTTTCAAGAAGCAGCAGAAGATATGCCTCTTTCCGCATACACTTTGCTAATCCACAACCATAAAACCATGGAAAACTCTTCTTTTCTACATTTCACGTCTGCTCCTTGCTACCTTTCATTGAATACTATGAATGTTTGCTCTGTCAAATTGCTTTTTTTCTCCTTTCAGATACAATGGAGTCCAACACTGTTTTGCTTGGTCCCATAACCGTTCTTGGCTAAATTCTGTGCTATTCATGAAAAATAAAAATTGTCAATCTCTTTGCATTGTTTTAATGATTTAACCACTTAATTTGATGTAGTGGTTATGCAGAAATGTCTACCACTGTCTCAAATAGGGTCTGTTTATAATTTCACCTGGTCTGGATTCTCAAATCAAGCAAACAAAAACAGAGCAAACCGTTTTCATGCTGTCACAGAAACCAAATGGAACTCCAAATAAAAATCACTGATTCTTGAGATAAGGGACAAAATATGTTTTAGAAGTTAGTTTTTATGATTTAATACATTATTATAAACCAATATATTTGTAGACAAAGGTATCTGCTAATGAACCATGTAAGTGAACTTTTTTTCTGAAAATGTTTTTTCAAAAATGTACGTTTATTCACTTCTTCGCTTAATTTGTCAACTCTGTCAGACACATTAAAAAGCATGCTATTTTAATTTGATCTATCCAACAAAAGTATAAAGTCTTCAGTTATGTAATGGTGTTCCATAAAGAAGCTAAGCGAAATATACATTCTCTACCTTTTTATCCTGGGTTAGGGTTATAATGAACAATCCAGTTCCTAAATACCTTAATTCTCTACCATCCATCCATCCATCCATCTTCTTCCGCTTATCCGGGGCCGGGTCGCGGGGGCAGCAGTCTGAGCAGAGATGCCCAGACTTCCCTCTCCCTGGACACTTCCTCCAGCTCTTCCGGGGGGACACCGAGGCGTTCCCAGGCCAGCCGGGAGACATAGTCTCTCCAGCGTGTCCTAGGTCTTCCCCGGGGTCTCACCTCCCCGGGAAGGCGACCAGGAGGCATCCGGAACAGATGCCCGAGCCACCTCAGCTGACCCCTCTCGATGTGGAGGAGCAGCGGCTCTACTCTGAGCTCCTCCCGAGTGACCGAGCTTCTCACCCTATCTCTAAGGGATCGCCCAGCCACCCTGCGGAGAAAGCTCATTTTGGCCGCCTGTATCCGGGATCTTGTCCTTTCGGTCATGACCCAAAGCTCATGACCATAGGTGAGAGTAGGAACGTAGATTGACCGGTAAATCGAGAGCTTTGCCTTACGGCTCAGCTCCTTCTTCACCACAACAGACCGGTACATCGACCGCATTACTGCAGAAGCTGCACCGATCCGTCTGTCAATCTCCCGTTCCATCATTCCCTCACTCGTGAACAAAACCCCAAGATACTTAAACTCCTCCACTTGAGGAAGGATCTCTCCACCAACCTGAAGTGAGCAAGCCACCCTTTTCCGACTGAGGAAAAGGACAATCTCTACCCTCCTTTTTAATTTTAAACCTATTACCAATGTTCATGGGTACATCAGACATATGTAGTAAAGTTGATGTTTTAACACAATAAATGGGAAAAATAATAAAATATTTATTTCAAAATTAACAGAAACCTTCATCTGACGATGTTAAATGGGTCATTGACAAAGCTTCAAAAAAAGGTCTTTTCAAAACTGATGCAATGTAAATTTAGGATAACAAAACACATTAAATGTACAAAAAATGAATTCAAACCAAATGGGTTTTATAGAATAAAGTGATATGTCATGAATTTATCAAATTACTTTAAAAGGGAATAATGTACTTGGACAAAAAATATGCACAATGTCATTGACCCAAATACTAACGGAGTTGACAAGGGTGCAACTGAGGTTACAATAACTGACTGACAAGACAAATTAATACAAATTAATTTTTTAACTAAAATTAATTTTAATACAACAGTCCTTCCAGTGGTTTTCTTTTCTCCTTTTAGTGGTACAAGTACGTCTCATGCTGGGTCTCCAGTAGCTCACAGAATACAAGAAGCTTATGTTTGGTTGAGTGTAATGGGTAGCATTAGTATGTGCTGCCCTGTAGCAGCAACAGAAATGTACCCAATGTGAATCCAAAGGTTGTGGAGCCTGTCTTTAAACTGCATCAATTACGTACATTTTATTTGTGCCGACCTGCATGATTAAGCAGTGGGAAACTGGCATATTCGCTCTCTATTAAGTCCATTACATCAAGGTTTGTTATTGCTGTGATCTCATGTGAGTGACAGATGATGTCACTCATGTGAGTGATTGAAATGATTGATTGTAAGAAAAAATTATTTTTGCAAATTATTTTGCAAATTATTTATTTGTAATAAGAACTGGTATATTCCAAAAAATAAGATAAGCCAAATAATAAGATAAAAAAATAAGATAAGCCAAATAAGAATCATCAATTTGTATTTCATGGTGACTGGATGTAAAGATGATATGTATATAAGGCATGTAAAACAGGCCAAATATGTAAATAATATTATATAATTGTTATGGTGTCTAACCCTAGTGATTCCCTGCACTCTCAGTCCCGTGCTCTCTCTCCCGAATACTAAGTGTCTCATACTCCAGCTTAGTAGGGATTGTTACGCTCTGATTGCATTACACCTGTTCTGTATGAACTCTGGTCCCTAAGCTATATCTGCCTCGTTAACTCGGTGCCCTGTGCGAAGTATTGTCTCACCCCGTGTTTCATGTCCGAGCGCTCTCTAGTTTTCCTGATTGTCTGTGTTACTGAGCCTAGCCTGTTGCTAACCTCTCTGACTGTCTGCAGCCTGCCAAGTGACCATTGCCTGTACCTGGACTCTGATTCTCGCCGCCAGCCATGAACCTTGCCCGTCTCCGGTTTTCCTGTTGCCTGCTGCCCGTTCCGTACCAAGCCTGTCTCTGACCCTGAGTTTTGGCCACAGCCCCGGGCTCCTGTCCGGTCCTTACAAGCATATCTGCCTTGTGTTATCTTTCTACTGAAACGCTTTGTTTGCTTGAGACTGCTTATTAAATTGTTGCAAATGGATCTGCCTCACATGTCTAATTCGTCACAATAATTATATAATTCCCCATATGATATATATATATATATACATACATATAGATACAAGTTCTTCCTGGTTCTCAAATCTGATTGGATGAGAGCCTTTTCTAGCTGTGCGATATTCCCCCAGTATCAGCACTGCACCGTTTCACCGTTTATATCACTCAGCTTGTAGCATTTCTCACAGTGAGTGTCATGGCGGATAAGCAAACCACCATAATTTTACAAATACTACTGTTGTTGTGTCATGAAATGTAGTTTTAAGAGTTTTTTAGGTGAGAATGTAGTTATTTATACTTCAAATATGCAACTTGTATATAAACATATAGCGCAAATTTGACATTTGTTTAAACGTTTTCGGAGATGTGAGCTCCAGACCGTCAGCGTGGCCGTTCAGCGCTCATGTACCTGCCTAAGTGTGGCAGGTACATGAGCGGAGTGATTCACACATTCTCCTCAAAACATTGGATTCATCTGCGCTGAGCCGTGCCGAGGCACAACCCACGTAAAGTTGATAATTCCGTGAATAACTGCAATTGCAGATTTTGAACAGAGGATGGCGACAAAGAGGAATCCAAAGAGGAATTTACTAGCAAAAGGAGCGATCGAACCGGTCCCTGAGTCGGTCAGGGTTTTACAGCCGTTATTTTCTTGTACCAAAGAAAGACGGCGGCACACGCCCTATTTTAGACCTGAGACATTTGAACAAAGCCCTCATGAGACGGCAGTTCAGAATGATAACTACCAAACAAATTCTCGCGCAGGTTCGCCCGGGGGATTGTTTTTTTACAGTGGATCTGAAAGATGCTTACTTTCACATTCGGATAATGCCCGGCCACAGGCCATTCTTGAGATTCGCCTTCGAGAGGCGGGCTTATCAATACACGGTCCTGCCGTTCGGCCTGTCCCTGGCACCCTGTACATTCACGAAGTGCATGGACGCAGCGCTTTCTCCCCTGAGACAACGGGGAGTGCGCGTACTGAACTATCTCGACGATTGGCTCGTTATGTCACAGTCGAGGACCGAGTTATTAACACAGATCCATGATACTCAGCCATTTGGAATGCCTGGGTCTCAGGATCAATTATTCCAAGAGCAAACAGTCACCCAGCCAGAATATAACCTTTTTGGGCACAGTTATAGACTCTGTTACGATGAGAGCGCGCCTCACTCCGGGAGGAAGTTTCACACCTCTCAGGAAGTTTCAAAGGCTGCTCGGTCTCATGGCGGCCACGTCATCAGTACTCCAGCTAGGACTACTGTTTATGCGCCCTCTTCAGCACTAGCTCAAAAGCCGTGTGCCAGCCCATGCATGGCGGTCGGGCCACCTGCACATTACGGTGAACCAGCGCTGTTTGGAAGCTCTGGTCCCTTGGAAAGCCCGAGACTGGTACCAGTCGGGTGTGAGTGTGGGCGTGGCCTCCAGGAGAAAAGTGATTTTTACAGACGCCTCCAACCAAGGTTGAGGAGTGCTGCACGAGGGCAAGCCTGTCTCCGGCCTCTGGTCGAGCCTGGAGAAGAGCTTACACATCAACTGCTTGGAAATGAGAGCAGTTTGGTTAGCCCTGAGAGCTTTTCTACCAGACCTCAAGGGACACCACGTCCTGGTCCGCACGGACAACATGTCAGTGGTGTCTTACATAAACCGACATGGCCAGAAAGCTCCTTCTGTGGTCACAGACCAACTTGAGCTCTCTGAGAGCCTCACATGTCCCAGGAGTCCAGAATGTGGGCGCGGACATGCTGTCACGAGACAACACTCCCCCAGGCGAGTGGTCTCTCAATGCACAGACGGTTCTTCTGATTTGGAGCGTGTTCGGCAGAGCAGAGGTCAACCTCTTCGCCTCCGAGAACAATGCTCACTGCACAACGTTCTTTTCGAAGAACAGGGACGCGCTGGCCCACCCATGGCCCTGTCTACCGCTATATGTCTGTGGGGGGAGGGGGATGCTGAGAATGCTTTTAATTATTGTTGTTCAAGGTTTTGGGGGCTTTTGGGGCCCTTAACATGCTCTAAAACTCTTGAAACTGTGCACACGGGTCAGAACCCGCGGCCATCAGGGCCGGGCTGAAGCTGGTACCCGGGCGTGGCAGGGGTGCTCGACAGCGCCCTCTGGAACGGGGTTTGAACACTTGTCCATATATCAAACACGCTTGCATGTAATAATCT